AAAGAGTGTATTTAAATATACATACATTTTTAAAACATTCTGAGCCAAATTAAGAACATTTTGAGCAAATTTAAGCCAAACTCAATAAGTTTTTGTTGTATTAAATCAGTGAAAGATAGAACATGTCACTATCTAACAGTAGTTAACCAGTTATTTGAACTATCTCACCTTTTAATGTGTTTAAGAGGCTGTGTAACTAGCTTTAGTTTTTCTTCTGCAAGGGCTGCTATATATCCCTGAATGAGTTGTACAGTCTCTCATAAGCAGAGAACATAGACTACAGCACAGAAATTCATGCATATTAGGATGCCAACGAGGAGAGGAATGCATTTTTTAAACCGCTTTGTTTTTCTCAGTGGTGGAATACACGTATCTTCAAGCTATACTCAGTGATGTATTATTACGATTACATGGGAGAATTAAAATTAGAATTAATTCAGTCAGGTGTTCTAAAGTTAAGAAAATCCCGAGAATTTTACCCTACTTTAAGAACAATGATTTTTTTAACCTTGTATCTTAATATGTGATCTCTTTTCAAAAGAGAACTTACGGATTTTATTTGGTTAGAGAGGAATAGAGTTGTGAATATATTATGATTTTAAGAATGTTATATCAGAGTCCTTTTTTTAGATTATAGCAGAATGTGCAGTGTGTACCTGGAAAACTCAGTTTCATTCTTGCACTACCAGTTGTAATTTGGTATTACCAAGTGTTGATATTAATTACAATTCAGATGACCAAGATTGGGCTCCTTACTTACTTTGAGATTCCTCAGCAAACCGATTCTTAACTGAGCAGCTACAGCTACCAGCTCTTGCTAATGTCCCTGGTGAAGACAGAACATTCTAGGTAGTTATTTTATAATTGGCAATTACTTGGGTTTGTATATTTACTGATGATCTCAAAATGGTTTTTGCACTTCTGTCTTGCTGTCAGATAGGGAAATACTGCTGTCCATGCTTCACAGGTGGAGAGATTAAGGAGAAACTGGAGTAACGTGTCTTATTTGGATCACAGGAGGTCAATGAGGGAGCTGAGAGTACATTCTTTTTATTAAGAAGGAGGTGTCACCTGCCTCATCAGTGCTCTGCAGGCAGTCAGGCCCCTTGTAGGTAGAAGGACAGTACATATTTAAAAGGCCATCTGGAGTTTATGGCTTCCAGTTCAGCATTCCAAGTAAAGGGAAACATTAAATGAGCCTAGCTATCTACAAAGGACGGATGATCCAGGTTGGAGGAAGATCCTAACATTTGCCTTTGAAGTTTAGCCACCTGGAAAGTGCCAGCTGTGAAACATCAAAGGAAACCTGTCCCTCCTCCACCCAGGGCAAAGCACTTTGTAGAACTTTTCCTTAAGAAGCATGACTCTGTTTAGCTTCTCAAGCCAAAGAAAAGCTTTAAAGCTGTTTGATAATCCCAGTGGCAAGAAGGAAGAAGGACTGGTTTGGGATACTGTTCATTTATCATCCGTGTGAGCTGCTGGCTCCTTGAACGAGAACATCAATCAGCCTATGAACTAAGTGATATATCAGCTGCCTGACTGGAACCTCTGATCCTCTTATTCTCAAGCAGAAGAGGAGAAAAGCATCTTTGCCTTCCACGGGTCACTTAATAGGCTTTGGGACAGGGGCAGATCATTCTTAGTTGCAGTAACCGTCTTTTTAAGAAGAAATGAATGATTCTTGTGTTACTGACCCCTGTTTCCCTGAAAAGAGGAAAGGGGAGAAAAAGAAAACAAATGGTCACAGGGATTGGACTGAGATCAGCATTCCTACTCGGTACCAGTCAGATAGTATGGTTACTCTGCCTGATAAATGATCTATATGCTGAAACAGGCCTTCTGTTTGTTGGAGGGATTATTAAATTTAAAATTTTGTTTTAAAGCTTCCTTCTCAGTACTGTGTTCCAGTCACTGCCTGTTGTTCAATGGAGCAAGGCGGAAGAGCTGTGAAACTATGGCTTCCAGATTTTGCCAGAATTTTATTAAACACACACACATATTAGCAACAACCTAGATTCAAAAGGCTTTAATATGTCTAACAAATGAAATATCCCCTGAAGCAAAATGAAATTCTTTGACTCTTGATAGCTTCCCTAAGAATATCAATAGAGAAAAATAACAAGACTATTAAGCTTTTTGAGCATCTGTAGAGAGGTCCCAGGTTCCCTAGTCTCAGGAAAATCTCTGTTAGGTTTTGGAGTAACCAATAAGGAGAAGCAAGACAGCTAAAAAAGCATACTTTTAGGATAAAGCCTAATGAATAACAATACTGGCAAGTGGGTGCCCACAGCAGAGAAAATTAGATTACACAACACAGCGCCTTCTAATTTATGTCCCCACGTTACGGTAGTTACAGCTTGCTAATATTAAAGTGACATTTTAAAAGCTGATATATTATGCTTGTATTATCAATACATGATACCACAAAGCATAATTTAGTATTAACGATAATCCCTCTTCTGTATAAAAATGTCCCAGAAGTTTTGCCTTAAATTCTGCATTTTCAAATCATTTGAAACTATGTAGTCAGAATGTTCTCATTCCTTGCATTTACTCTGGGCATCAGAATTTGGTGAGCTCCTTAGTAGCATTCAAATTAACCTGTTTTAGGTCATATCTGAGCTCCCAAAGTTTCTCACACTATGTAATATAATTGTTGTGCATATTTAATAGTTGAAATGTACTCTTAAAGAAGAGTCAGGAATCAAGATTTAGAACCTGTTTGTTTTTTTCTGCACTTCAGGTAATGATTAGTATTATAGAATTAACTGCTGGATACTTAGATAAACAGGATGTATAAACCTTCATGTAGTAATGCAATTTCCAGCTACCTTACTTTCTCCAGAATTAAGAAAATATGTTTTTCTGCTATTTCATGAGTAATCTAGAAGGAAATGGAAAACAGAGAGTCTTCACTTTGTTTCCATTCAACCATGTAGTATTGGGAAAGAATTATCTCCATGTTCTTTTCATCATATGCAAAAGGAGTTGGCTAACGCACCTTGGATAACACCCTTTTCATGAACAGCTGGCTTGGACACATGGTGAACTTGTTTTAATATACGTTTCTTTTATTTTGGCACTTTATCTAATCAATTTCAGCACATAGCAATTACAAAGTTTTATAGAACTATGGCCAGCACTGGCTCCTTAAGTAAGTTTGCCTAGGTCACATGTTGGATCCTTCTGCATTCCCAAATAAAATATTATTATTAGGCAGTATTAGAAATGAAAAAAGCCTCAGCCCAGAACTGGCAATGAACAGAAGCAATGAAAAAGATATTGAGCCTTGTTTTAGGCTGAACTATGGCTCTTTTTTCAGTTACTGGCAGCTCTCCCATAGCATACTTGAAATCTTATTATTAGTCAGGGTGGCCACTATTTGTTCACTGTTAAGGAAACCAAGTGTCACAGTGTTGATCAGACCTTCCTTCTGGGCACTCACCAGACTTATGTGGATTCCAAAAGCTGTACATAAGTCACTTGCTTGGACATCTCTGACATTTTCCTGGAAACAGCTTCCTGTCTGTTACTGCTCCATAGCATGCCATGTTTCAACAACATTGCCTTCCCAAAATTAGTATAGACTTCCAAAACACTTCAGGAACTGTCATTAGGCACCCCCTTTTAGGGTCCCAACCTTGGTAATCTACAGTTCAGCACCCTTGGGACATATGATGGTTGAAGTACATGCAATACTCTACAAAGATTTCATCAGAAGTACCCTAATTTTAGATAGCTTAAGTGATACGCAGTTATTAACAAAGCAATAAATACCCAAATGTAATCCCTTTCCTCATCACACAAATTAACGCTCCTATAGAACTTTCTCAGAGTCCCTTGAGTGTGTGCAGTTTCTACATCTCTACTTGCTATTTTCAAATATAACTTATTCTTAGGAACATGAATTTCATCTTATTTCAGCCCCCGATACATAGCTTGTTTTGACCCTATATTTTCCCATAGTCAAAAAGCACTAAAAAAAAAAAGCAAGTTTATTCTTTGAAAACATTAGCTCTTTATTCCTTCCTCTGACCTCAAGCCTCACTAGGCTTTTCAAACTACTGCCCTGTTACGCATGTTCTTTTGTTCTCCTGTTGGACGGTCTGTTTGATTTCAAACCCCCGTTCTCAGTAGAAAACTACATCGTCTATGTTTTGACCTAATTCATTGTCTTAAGACATTTTCATTTGAAAGGAAATTACTTATGTTAACGACACTCTATTCTCCACAGTCTGAAAGGGGTGTTAATGTATTATATGATATTATCCTGTCTGGTAATACATGGTTAACACTACAGTTACTAAGTTCTTCTATGATATGAGCAATGTAGCTGCACATAGAAAGGTTCTTCTCTCAAGTCGGTGATAAGCTATTATTAATAAGAGTGAGGAGAGGATTATTATTTTACAGGTAACTAAAATGCACCAGCAGATTAATTAGAAATAGTATTGCATTATCATTAGAAGAATAATTCCTTAAAAAAGCAGCAGTATAAAAGTAGAACTGTTATTTTTAAGCGGAATAAAAATCTTCTTACTTCAGAAAACTTCCATGTATTTTTAATGTAAAATTATTTTCATGTTATATTCAATATTAATTAAAAAAATCATTTGGGAGTGTTTGCACTTTATTTCTGAAGCCAGATATAGAAAGAACTTTATTCTATGCATAAGCATTTGCCTTGTCATATGCCTTTCCACCTCTCCAAAAGTCTGAGTTGAGACTCACAGCATAACCAGAAGATCGTTAGATTTCATTTTGGACAAATACACTCCAGAAGGGTAGGATGTTGCAAACACATGTGGGAGCCTTTTTTCTTTTATATAATGTGTGTTTCAGCTCAAGCATATCTGTGGGCTGCAGCTATTCTAGTCAAGTAAGGAACAAGAGGCTCTCTTTAAAATCGTTCCAGAGCTACTACAGACTCAGTAGTTTGAAAGCAATACTTCTCTGTTGGAAATCAAAAAGTGGCCAACGCAGATCTTGAAATTTTGGGATTGTGTTCCCCTGATAAAATGCTCTTCTGACTCCCTAATTAATTAACTGGAGTGCTTTCCATCATTTTCATTTCCTAGGCTGATTAAAAGAATCTCTGTTGCAGATCTAACCTTGAAGTGATGAAGGCATGGATAATTAGCTCTCAAACAAAATGAATGAACATGAATTGTAACCAGAGTAAACGCTGGGAAAGAAAATAGTCGCATAAATACTGCCGTATCAGCAGCAGATTGGGATACAAAATTGTTCACAGATGAAAAAACAATGTTAGAAGTAAAGAGCAGATGTATCCTCTTCAATGAAACAGCGAGTGCCATATTCATAGATTAACAGAGATTTCCCTTAAAAACTATCAGCACATCTTTGCCTGGAATGGCTGCCAGCTAGCTAATGGCCATGTCTACCAGCCATTGCCTTGCTCCAGAGGACCAGCTGGAATGAGGGAGATAGAGAAAGGGGAATGTGATGGCCATCGCCTCCTCATTCATGTCTGGCCCTGCAGAGGCGGTTAGCAGAGGAGGAGCTTTCAGAGCAGCGCATGGAAGAGACCTCATTAGTTCAAACAGCTTAAACCAATTTATAATAATAATTAAATATAGGTGATCCAGTCGCATTTTATCTTAATTGTTCACAGGACTAGAGTGTTTCTGTACAGAGATAGCTCTGAGAGAGAATCTGATTGTATTTTAGTGTGCCTTGAGGCTATTAACCAAGCACCTTTTAGTTGCATGCTTTGGCAAACTTGCCTTTATTTTCCTGTGTGTGAATAATGGTATTACTGGAAGTCATTTTATCCTGTGTCAGAGTCACAGCATGTAACTCATATATGCTGTTAGCGCTGGAGTTGTGCCAAGGCCCACCAGAGTGGAGTCTGAACCATTCAAGGGGGTACCTAGCACTACTTGCTAGATGAAGTCAGACAAAACAGAAGCGGTTGCTCCTTTGAAATCCTTAAGAATCCTCAAAGCTGAATTTAAACACAGAACAAGTTAGATTCATAGTTATTCTGGATGGGCAGAATTGTGCTTCTTGGATGAAATAATTTGGAACTGATTACATCTCCCAAGTTACTTAAATGATCTTGTCTATGATAAATTCCAAATTATAGAATAACTTCCTACCCCATATTAAGGACATCTCTAAAATCTGTAGTGACCTGCAGTTTGCATTGAAGTCCCAGGAGATTTCTATAAAGACTAAATCAAATATCAGCAATTAGCATAATCAGTATCCCAGGTAAATAGAAATTCTGTTCTCATGTAGTTATTTCTGAAGGCTAAACACTGCAGCCTTTGTATTATCTGCAATATCCATCAATCAATGAGAATTACATATACATAAACATTGAAGGGTGGGAACATTTCTCCCCTCTGGGGAACATTAACATGGTCAAGACACAAGACAGCCTCATCCATTTAAACTTAGCTTCCAATGTACTTTTAGTCTTAGCAATACAAAATAAAATGTAATTTCAGAGTTTTTGAAAGGCAGTTGTTCTAGGAAAGATTATGCAATTAAGAATATGTTCTGATATGCTTATACAGCCTGACTTCATATTAATATGTCCTCGTATTTTTATTACATAATAGCAGTACAAATTCAGTATTTATGGTCAATGACACACTCACCTCCCCAGTGCTCATCACACACTGTGAATAAGGTGGTTTTATTGGCTAGTCCTGGAAACACACTGCTGCACTCCATAACAATAGCCTGAGGAATCATTATGATGCAGGACACAATCCAGATAATTATAATGCTGTTCCTTGCCCGCTTGGCTGTGCTTTTAAACATCAAAGGGTGACAAATTGCATACCATCGATCCAAAGCAATGCAGCTCAGTGTTAGTACAGACACAGAGACTGAAACTGTCTAAAGAAAAGACAATAGTATGTAAACTTTATCAGAGTTTTAAAAATGAGTTATATTTTCAACAAGTTAATAAGTTAGTTCTTTATTTGCAGTTAATAAATAGAAATTATTCATAGAAAAATGACTCCTTTTTAAATCACTTCTTACAGAATTAAAAACTAATATATAAATCTCCTATTTATTTTGTGTGATATCTTCATCTGCTGCAGTCCCACTGGGATCAATAGGACAATTCACAAATTAAGGTGCTACTCAAGCTGAAAAGGTGTAGCAGGATCAGATGTTGCAAGAATAAAATTATGCAACTCAGAATTTACAAAACATTATCTGAAAAATTACTTTTAAAACATAATACCACTAATTAGATCCCCTCCCCTTTTTTTTCCTTTGTAGAACACAGTTTTTTGGTTTTCTATGCTCTACTCAGATACAATATCGTCCTTTTGCTTTTCCAGTTTTCACAGGAAGAACGGAAATTCTCATGAAAAAAAAAATCATCCTACAGCAAACTAAGTCATTTTTTCCTTCTATTCAATACAGGAAATGATCTATGATTTTGGTTTTATTCTTTCATTCTGCACACTAGGTGATCATTTCACGTTCTCTTCAGATTTTCTTCCACCGGAAAGCAGTCTTTGAAAGAAGTTTGTGAGTTTGATTCTATCCAGTAGAGGACATACTTGCTGGAGAACTAGTCCCCTTGACAATGTGGGTCTTCGGCCTGAACATACAAATTCAGGCTGAAAATGTTAAGTGTGCGATACTTTCAGAGTTCTGCTAAGTTTTTTTTTGCTTTATAACGTCTGAAAGACCAAGCAGCTTTTCATTCTGTTATGCCTAGTTTGTTCATCTAACTGATAAACTTAGAAAAGATGCCAATCATTTTGATGGAAATGTTCTCATAACTAAGTAAGTCAGACCACTGATAATGAATGAGCGGTGGCAATTGTTGCTGAAGGGACACGATATGATCAGCTCCCAGTGGACGAGGATACTTTAACTATTTCTAAATAACGCTCACTAAGTCACTAAACATCTATGGAGGTATAAACTCTCTTCAGAGTTCTTCAGAAGGTCTGAATTCTCTGTCATGAACACTTACTCGATGTTTATGTCCACATACAGAGAGTATAAACGCCTGTAATTCTACTTAAGTACATTTTATGGCTTTATATCCTTTCTGAATTATTAAGATAATCAGACAGAGTAAAGAGCATCAGGCAACTGTCCCAGTAGGTGTATTGCCCAAGCCTACCAATCAGTTTCACCAAGAACAATATTTATTAAGCATAAACATATAATTCACAAGTGGAACAGTCCTTTAGTCCTGTGCAGGTATCCTGAGATATCCGCTCTAGCTGAGATAAACTTCCATCACATAATCCCAGTTAGGAATATGCTTTTGTTCTTTTTCATAACAATGGTAATGTGGATGCACACACAGTGTAAAACAATACCTGTAAGTAGGGAATCACTTTGCAGAGAGTCTGCCCAAAGAACCATGTTTCTGTGATGTCCACGACTAAAGTTGCTGGAAGACAAGTAATTGTGACCAGAACGTCAGCCAGAGAGAGATTTACTATGAAATAGTTGGTAACTGTCCGCATGTGGTGATTCTTCCACACTGCAATGCAAACTGAATTTGGAAAGAAAAGTTAGTGTGCTGCGAATAACCTAGGTAATGCTTCAACAAGAAAACACTTTGCACTGTAGAATTAAGGAAGTGTGTCATTTGCTTAATAAAGAACCCTTAAATATATAGTTTAGCATAAAAAAATATGTTTTGTGTTAGAATGAAAACAAGAGGGTATATGGAGAGAATCTCAATACCCAAAGAGTAGCTCTCCAAAGACCACAACATGAGAAATATTAATCTGATATACAAGGCTGCCTATTTTACTGCAAGTACTAACTTCAGTAGCTATTAACACAATTGCCTTCATTTCCATTTTAATCATTGGGCTATATTCTATGGAAATATATGTCTACATTTGTAAAAGCTTGTCTTTTTTACAATACTGTAATTCTTAATTTAAAATGCTACCACATGGCGTCTTGTAAATGGCATCCACACAACAATCATTTATAACATATTTTGCTATGCATAACCTATCCATTGTATCTGCAGAGAATCTGTGACAGTTGTGTAGGCAAAAGGTATTTGGGATTTGAGGTAAGTAAATTAATTTTTTCAGTATTAAGTGCAAAGCCTTTTAAATGTGTTTTTTTTTTTGATCATGACTATTGTGATCAAAAGCAGCATGTAGCAAATATTCTACAAGACAGGCCTTTAAAGATTGCTTTGCATCATTTCATTTCAATTTGAAAGGCTTTTATAAATGAGGCAAATCATTCCTTGAACATGGTGACACTAAATTCACAAGCCAATACATTAGAAATGTCAAAATTGAGTCTGAGAAACTAACCTGAAAAAAATAAATTTTGAATAACTTGGAAATTAAAACCCTAAGAGACTGTAACATTTGATAGCTTTCAAATTTTCTAGATTTCAGTCACTAAAAGCTCTTTAAAAACTCATGCATAAAATTTTCCTGAAATACCACAATACTTCTTGTAATAAAACAATACAATATATTGTGCATTAGAGGTTCTTCTCCTTTAAAGAGTAATTCATCCATCCTGCAAATCTGGAAGAAGATTCAAAGTCTCCTTCATCTTTCAGGATATAGCACTAGGCTTAATTAAGATATATTAAGCAGATCACAGAACACTACTGCATAGAGTTAGAAAGGTCCTCAGGAGGTTGTCCAAATCTAAAACGGAATCAGATGAAGTTAAGCCATTCTCTTATTAAACTAACAAACACAGCTGGAAAAAAACAGACAAACTTTAAGGTACATAATCTGTTAAGATCAGATGCTTCTTTAGATCGTAAGAAGGATGGTGTGCCTGAAAGCTTGTGTCCATCTTACAGCTGTATCAGCTGATATAATAACAATATTGCTTCACCTCACAAATCTTGTCTTGCGTAAGTCTTTAGACTAGCACAACTACAGTAAGACTACCACCAAGACATCCTCGGTAAGTTTAATTTTTAAAGTCTGTTATTGGTGAAGATTTCATGCCTATCTTAAATATGTTCCAGGGCTTAACGATCCTTCCTATAAAAAAAAAAAAAAGTTTTTCTATTTCTAATCTACTTTTCCTTTGCTATTTACATCTTTTTTTTTTCCTGTACACAAATGGCAATGAAGAACAGTTTTTCCTTGAGGCAATGTTTCACACATGTACATATGTAAAGATTTTTATCACATCTCTTCCCAGTCAACTCTTCAGACTGTTGCAACCATCCTTGTTGCTGTTCTCTGGATGTTCCTCAAACTGGATCACAACTTAGTTGTCAGAATGCCTTGCCCCAAAAAGGCACAATAATGATTCAAAACTTCACTAAAGCTTTAGTGGGAGCTAAGACTGGAACACTCCTTCATGAAAGCAAAGTTTGGACATTTGCGGGTAATTTAAGACAAGTAGAGAGAGGCTAAGAGAAGGTGATTTTGTCAACTACCCCGTTAGGATGCAGGCTTCCAAGTTTCATCCGAAACTCTGTTGTGCCACAGTAAATGCTCGTCATGTCTTCTATGCAGACTTGGATGAAAAATCTAGGGTTTCATAATTGAGCCTACTTAAATTTAATCCTTGATATGCATCCTTCATGCTATTGGATTGTAAATCCAAGTCAAATCCCCCCTGCAAGGCTCTTTGTTGTCCTTGGACTGCTTTTGGAGAAAAATCTGTCACATCATTCATTTCTTCTGTTGTGTTCTTTGTGAATACAGAATTTTAGTTCTTCTTAGCTGTGGCCTCAAATAATTAAAAGGCAGTGCTTACAAATCAAAGCTTAAATATCATATTAATTGTGTTTACTGCTTATTTGGGTGATTTAAGTTACCTAAAGAAGTAATTATTTGTATAGCTTCACATGGTAATTACAGGACTTTACCATTTTTACTTGATGCATGGGACTACTGCAGTTATAACTTACAACAGTGACTAACGATAAGTTATTTATAATTTATGACAACGTAGAGGTAGCACATAACAGGGGAGATAATACATTGCTGCCTCTCTTGAAATTTCACTCATGACAGGAAATGCTGGAAAAAAAATTGCAAACACCATTTCACTTTCAATAATGCAAGTGCTTCTGGCTTTTACTGATGGCTTTCTCTTTGCCTTGAATTTAATTCATATTGAAAGTATAATCCCGTCTTGTGTTAGGCAGAAGTTATATCAAGTGTCCATGTTTTTCTGTACTTGTTACGTTTTTAACAATAGGCAGTAGTTAAATAAAATATTGTTTTAAATGCTCAGGGTTCAGCTGCTATAGTTTCAACAGCCTTAGACTGCTAGCTGATTCTTTTATGTGCCTATTTTTGAGCAGAGGATAGCAGTGCTTAAATGTGTCAGATTTAAGCAGATAGGTATACTCTTTGACAAAGTCCATTCTTATTCCTGGGCTGCCATGTCTGGGGAAAGAATCTGGTTGTAAACATTATTTTAGGTAAAAAAACTCATAAAAAGTTAACAAATGTGAGGTTAATCTCATTGGCCATAAACAGTACCAAAAAATGAATTCATAGCATTTTGCGTGTTGCATTCAAAGCTTTCTATCAGTATGAGGACATGAATCTTCATAATATCCCAGGGAGCTAAGAAAATATTCATCTTAGATACGAGGAAAGAAAAGCAGAGTACGGAAGTTGGCAAAGGCCATCAAGTAAATTAGACCCAGAATGAGAAACATGGACTTCCAAATTCTCAGCTCTGTACTAAGACTTCCATATCACACTGTCTTATCGAGAGTGGAATTTAGATGAACTCCAGTGCCTGCTATTCCTCAGAGAAACATAAAAGATTGTTCCCCTTGATACTCAGGGTGTAGTAATACAGAAAGAAGCTCTTAATTCCTTTGAATTCTAGTCTACAGCGGCTAGAGGCACCTAAAAGGTGGAAGAAGTTAATTTACAAGCATAGAAATGTAGGATATTTTGTTACTTTAGGTTTCTCTGTTTATATTTGACTGTTTCCCCTTTTCACTTGATAAATTCTTTGCAGCATAGACAATTTTCCATTCCCTTTTCGTACGGTGCTTAGTGCAATAATATCCTAACTTATGTGTTTAAATACTGCCAAAACAATTAAGAAATCTCCCAGCAATTTCCTTCATGCACGTACACAGAAAATGAGTATGTATAAGAGAGGCTGCTACAAAAACCTCTGAAGAGAAAGTATCTTAAAAATTACAGTCAGCTTTTATCCCCCCACACTTATTGCCCTCTGCTGGCTGAAGTACTGCTTTCAACCTGTGCAACTGTATGATTTCTTTCAGTGTAAGGCTAAACAGAACTATAGGAGTTTGCTATGAATAGGATAGAATGATGCAAATGACAGAAAGTTAGTTCAGCATATTCCTCTCCAGCCTTCATATTCTTCTGAGCCTACTACAGTGCTAAGCTTGTTGTCCAGGACAACAGCTTCATTCATACACTGGTGATCTAGCAGATCATCAAGAAAGTGTCTCTATCCTATGTTCAAAAGCTAATCTTTTTCTGAGAGTGCAAAACAGTCTGAATATGCCACTGAATATACTATAACTAGTTAAGCATTAGAACAAGGGGACTTTGTCTCCCCTCTGCTCCTCTCTCACCCCTTTAAATATGCGTTTCCACTCCTATTTCCATCTCAGCCAGTCCTGCAAGTAAGTGCAGACGCTCAGCTTCTGTATAAACCTTAAAGAAACATGCTAGAGAAGGGAAGTTTTGTAGAGCATGAAATGCTGTCTACCCACCTACAGTGAAAGGCAGAAAGCAGTAGCTTTCTGCTGGGCTTAGAGAAGAGAAGCAATGAAGAAACAGGTAGTAAAGATTCTCAGCTGGAAGTGGATTTTACCAAAAAGCAATCCAAAATCATAAAACAAGAGATGAGGCCAGCATCAGCCTTCCTAAAAAAATCTGGAAGACATCACAGAATTAAGAGGGTGTCTGTTCAGTTAGGGCACAATATAGTATCTTAAATTAAATTGTTTGAACCTCAACAGAAAAATCTATGAACTAGTAAAAGTAGCCCTGAATAAACCCATGATTTAACATTCTATGCAAATCTTTTACAGGACCTTTGATGTACCCAGCTATAAGTGTGAGTTAGAAAGCAAGAGACACGATATTAACATACACAGAGCAGAAAGAATCAGAAGTTCAAAGAAAAGTAGGAGAAAAATGTGAGAGAAATGAATCTGAGAAAAGTTCCTTTATTATGTATAGTTCTTCAAAATTGTTATCACTCTCTATTTGAATGTAATTACCTGCTCAGTTCTATTATTTTCTGTATTATAATTTTTATTTTGTAAAAATGCTCAAAGTCACAGTCAATAACTTTCTTAGAAACGAAAACAAACAGGCCAGCTTTCACAAAGAGCAGCTGGTTGTCCATTGGTTACGTAGTCAGACTATCGTTACTCCTTCCTCATAATGAAATTTCTCACCACTGATGCCTTCAGTTTCTTCTACCAGAATCGCGAGAGGAGCTTTAAGCAAAACGATTGCTGTTCTTACCTTTGCCACACAGTGTCAGTGAAGGCTTGGAAACTAGCTTGAATTGCCAGGCTGATTCT